CCTCTAAAAAAGAACCTCTCTAAAGAAACTGAATTAATATACGCCGAGAAGTTGGATGCTGCGGCACGTGCCTGTTGAGTCTCGGTCAGAAGTGACGTGACGTTCATCATTCAGCTAGTATTTCAGGCGCCTTCAAAGCAGATTTCAAGATCTTAGCAACAAGTTCTGGAAATGATGATACACAAAGGACTGCAGTAATCGCCCAAGTCTTCAGTTATCCATGACAAATTCGGTGTTTTCCGTCAGACAAATTGTGCAAACTGTTAAGATTTACCGTCACCTCTTCAGATTTGTTAGAATTTATGTCGGAAAAAAATGCAGGTTACTTAAAGCATGGACCAAACCCAGCGGAATATCGTTGCGAGAAACCAACTAAAATAGTTCGGAATTGTAACCGATACGGCAATTGTATGAGTTTGATAGTAACCACAGCCTAGAGATTGGACTGTAAAACGGATGGGCTTTGAAGCCGTACCACCAAAACGACTCTATAACTCTTGATCCTTTCAGCTTTTGATACCGGATCGAAACGGCGTAAGCACCGTCCCCTTGCTTTTAGCAGGGCACGGCTTTATGACATTTGAGCATCCGCAATGCATGGATGCGAAACCGCATCAATACGCAGGGATGAACAAAGGCCTATTCGGATACCTGCAAATATGCCACAATCCGTAGGCATATGTATACACAAAAATAAATCCCGATTATAACTTTCGCTTAACAAAATAAGGATCGCAAAACTTAAACCAGTTTAGCTGGTATCTGCTTTACCTGTAAGTTGTATATGTGAAACTTTAATACTCGCACATATCATTCCTTCAATTTTCACGCTTTGGATCATCTCCCTTCATTCTCCATCCAGCCCTTCATCACTTTTATGCACTACTGCCATGCCTAGCTGTTTACAATTCATTCCTACTATTTTTTCATCGTTTCTTTCGCCGTAAGACCATCGGTAAAGTACAACGCTGATGACAACTTCCGTACCAGAAGCTGAAACCTGAATAACCAAAATTTTCATGATGCGTACTGTAACCCCTTGTCATCTAAGATACATACAATACAACTGAATATAGCCTGTTGCTCAGCTCCGTACAGATATCCAATACTAGTAGTGGACATTAATTTCAAGAACTTCCACATTTACACCGGACCTTGGATGACTTAATGTGGATATTTGACAGTATTTTATGATCTGCAGCACGAAACCAGGGAACATGCCTGATTGCGTGAAGTATCGGTCATTCAATCAGTCAGTTTTACGACAGAAGCGATCGACGTTGCGAATGCCGTCCGGTACTCGATATATCTCGATGGTGACCGACATGCAGTTCAACAACAGTTGGTTCGTCGAGTAAAATCAACGCTATACGGTTTGTGCTGTCAATCACAAAACGTTGAACGGTAAGAAATAGCCGTTAGCAAAATACAAGCGACACCCTTAAAGCTTGCGGCATCCACAGATGAAGCTTCGTTTCTGTTTTTCACAACAAAACATGCCGTTCGTTGAAGCAATCGCTGAAACGTTGTCAATGCAAAGTACAAAACGCTAGCAGTTAACCAGCTATCAATGGTCAAAAACTAATGCCTTCTAAATCCAGACAGAATCTGTATGTAACATGAACGTATTACACAAGGCATGCTTCAGCGGTTACCTCGCCACGTGCTGATACAGTGCTGCTCCAGTTCCTGCATCTTGTCTCCTTTGGATTTGTAATACTTGTGAAGAAGAAATATGAAATCGGTAATTGTCAACATTCCAATAAATCGATGGCTAGAACCGTCCCATAAAGGTGCTGCCCTGACGCCATTGTACACGAGAGCATAGAATGCTTTTTTCACCTAAACAAATTATGCAGACAGCTAGCCTATACCATTCCCAAAAGTAAAACAAAAATGGCGATGCCTACCTGTAGCTGCGTATCGAATACAACCAGCTTGGTGCTCGTGGGAATAAGATCATAGCATTTATGAGCCCGGAGAAAGTTTGCATATACAAAGGGCTGGATTCCTATAAACCGTAGCTTCAAAATACCAAATAAGCTATTTCACGGCAACGCATCAGCAAAATAGAACGGTCGTGCTGATTCAATACGCAAGTAAAATAATAAAGTGCTATGAAATACGGCACCGAAAGCTGG